TGATGTTACTGTCTTGGCATTATGTATAACACCAAAATAATCATCATTAAAAACTATTCATGCATTAGCATGCATAGTTTCAAACTTTTATTTTATTATACATTCTTATAAATATAATATAAAGACACCTAATTAAAAATCATATTTACACAAAATAGTTTCACTTGTAAAACTGAAATGGTATACAAGCAATATACTAAAATTATCATTGTTTTAGTTAATTACAAAATTTTGCCCATAAGCAACTGAACAAATAATACCACTGAACCTGGTAGTTTATTCTTCATTCATGTCTAACCAATGGGCTGGTCATTTGGTGATTTCTGTGTGTGTTCATCCGTCTAGCATCTAATTAGAGGCCAGTTACCCTTAAGTCCATATGGAAAGTACTCCCTTTAGCAGACTACTCTTGTGTTGCATTGTCTTATCCCATCAAACAAACAAATAATAAATTTTAAAATTATAAAACATCATTTCCACTTTATTAAGTATATTATACACTATGTGAATTTTGTTTTATTACTTGTTTAATTAAAACTTCAATTTATGCATTATAATATCAATTGGTCAAATAATACAAAATGTATTCAATAAATATGTCATCAGAAATTTAAAAACAAAGATATGACAAGAGAAAACTGTTATAATAAATGCAAGGTGTGGCAGGGAGTAAAGTAAAAAGAGAACTGCTTGGTTGGAACAGAGAGTTTAATATAAGCTATATAGAGTATACATATCAAAAAGGAAAGGAGATAAGGAACACATACTGAAATCTAAGAAGAAATCTTTTTTTTTGTAATCTTAATTATTAAAGAATTAAAAGATTTATGAATGAAAAAATTGATTTTATTTCTAATTATTTAAAATTTATCTGTAATTATATTTAAAGCACATATATCAAACTGTACATGCTTAAATTTAAAGTACTGTATGTTAAAAACAAAGAAATAAATATATTTTAACAAAATAAATTAAACAAAAACAATGTTTGTTAGATGTATCAAAATTAATTAAATTCAATAAAAATTATTTTAAAATGTGATCAAATTAATAGAAATTTTACAAGTTAGATGTAAATATTGCAAATACTGTAAATACTTGATTCTTAAATAAAACATTACTGTACTTGATTATTATAAACTTATCAAACTTAAAAAAAATTTTTTTGAATAAATTATCAAAACTTGATTAACATACCTTTTCAAATACATTGTTTCATTTAAAACAAAAAGAATATTTGAAGTCTCATACATAATTATTTTCATTTAAATGAATTCAATAAATAAAAAAAATAATAAATAAATAATCACTCAACNGTATACTATATATGCCACTATTTACTTTCCTGCTTTATTATTTACACTTTGTACTGACTGAAACTAACTCTCTCCTCCTCTTCCCTTGAAAGGTGGAATTTCCAAAATTATCTTCTTAATGTGCATTCTCATGATGTATTCTGTGTACCAAATTTCAATTTTCAACTCCTAACCATTTGGGCTTTGCACTTATTATTATTATCACTATCAACTCATCTCAATTATATATATAGAAGAGTTGAAGATGTAATTTGAGAATATCTTTAGAATAAGTCTTGACCTCAAGAATATTACTTGAAAGCTACAAAGGCTTGCCACTATTATCTTTACAAGTTATAGAAAAGCAAAGATTGATAGATTTTGTGTATGTCAGCTACTTGTTACATTTGTTTTTTGCTGTTTTAGAAGAAATAAAATGAATTTAAATTATTAAAAGAAATATCCTAAATTTTGCTTCAAGATGCAATACTTAGTTATCTTTATTACAATATTAATTAGAATTTAATAAAAAAAAATAACACTTTGTATGATAACCACAATTAACTAATTTCAATAAAATTTAAACTTTATGTACAATTTTCTATATTGCATATCACATATACAAACATTATTTTTTATTCAATATTCATTATTTTCATCATCATCAATATTTTTCAAATATTCTAAGCAAAAATTATATACAAACTGCTCACTTGCCAAATCAATTAACTCCACTAAACAACAGAGAAATTGGTAAAATAACACACATTCTTTTTAAAGTTCTTTTAAAATTTAAATTTAAATAAACATTATTGAATGTATTATTACAGGCATAGCTTTTATCTAACAACACATAAAATAATATTATTCAAAGGATATATTATTTTTACATTTTTTGCATAACTAAGAGAATTAAATTTGGCCTGTGAACATTCCGTACAAAGTGATTTCTACAATTACGATATCAATATTAATAAAACTTTAATGACATTTTTTAACAACTTACCAACATCTTCAATAGTGATTGACTCTTGTCTAGGCAAGTTCATATTGCTTGTCAATTCACCATTGGTATCAGTAAATCTAAAAAAAAAAAAACATCATTTAGAAAATATATTTATCATATTGTGATAAAATAAATAACTATTACTATTTCAAATAAAATCTTCATCCATTAATTAAATAATTATTTCTTCACGTATTTTTAGTAATTAAGTAGTAAATTAAAATTAATAAATCACCATCATAATCATAATGATGACAATTTATATAACAATATCAAATTACTACAAATTATGAATATTTTCATATTTATCAAGCAGCAACTCTTAATAAATACATAAATAAGGTTCGATGTGTAAAACCTGACGAAAAAAATTATATTTATTAAAAAATATGAAAACTGGCAGAAAAAATGCATTTGATTCTGGGTGTGACACATAGTTATGAATTTTAACGTACTGTATTAAATGTCAGAATGATTAAGGTTACAGCGTTCACATACTTTATCACATACTAAAGCCTGGAATCATACATACATTTTAGCCTGATATCATTAAANTATATGCATTGTTATTTCACAAAATTTTACTATCATTTGCTTAATTGAAACCTGAAAAAAAGTCTTAATTATAAAACAGAAAAAAGTTTATATACAAAGATTATAACTGATAATTAAGAGCTTAGGATTGTATTATATTCAATATAAAACTATAGATTTCTTACTATCACTTTTGATAAAATTGACAATTTATCAAGTTATATAGCACCTATTATTAAATAGCAAGTGTACTAATGTAAAATAACTTCAGAAAGTTTCAAGTAAGTTCTTTTTAATATTGAATAATAAACATATCTTGATTAAAGTCCCTTCATAAATTATAACTAAACAGACAGACAAACATACACACACACAGCAAATAAGTAAGATCACTTCTAAATGTTTCCTAATTTTAGAATATAATTAAAAAGAAACTTAATATACAATTTAGCTATTTAATATTCAAGAATTTATATTATTTAGCTTCAATATAAGACATTTAGGCTTCGGTAGTGTTAAAGTAGTGTTAATAGCGCCATGTGTGATTGCTAAATTGGAAAGATAAATAAATAAAATTAAATAATTAGAAGGTTTATGAATAACGGATATATAATTCATTTATTTATATATTTAAATGACTTATTTATACATTTAAAAATACGGAAATAAAGAAACTATCCTTACTTCTTTCGTCTCCAGTTTGCACCTTATAATTGACAATCGAGTCAATGAAAAGAGCCAAAACGAGGCCTTCGTTGTGATTCACTTTCCGGTTCCGGGAAAAGAAGTTCCGAGAATCCTTTCGTTTGGCTGATTTCTGATTGGTTAATTCGATCGTAGCTTATTTCTTGCTGCCAATTTTTGCGGATTATAATTATAATTATTAATCCGCGGGTAAATATTTAATTAAGGATTTCATTATTTATTATTATTTTAAAAGTTTATTTGTAAAATAAAAAAATAAAAATAATAAAGTTTAATGTTTTTTTTTTAAAATATTTAAATNATCGTGCTACTGTCGATGGTTGCACACCTTAGAGGTATGAAGGAGTACATGTCGGAAATTGCAATTTGGCACAGAGTATTTGATGCCCAAATCATGCACACACAAAATAAACCAGTCTTGTAGGTTGTCAGGGGACCAAGAACTGGGTCAAAATAAAATATAAAATGCTAAGACTGTTTCTACAAACAGGCACGAGTGTAAGATTTGCACATGCATTGCTCACACCCTCCAAGACGTGATCTTGTCCCGAGAATGGCTTTGCCATTTTACTTGTTTAACTTAAAATATATGCTCTCCACCTCAATAAGTAGTGGCTTGCCCCTGTACCATCATATTTTTCCTGTTAGCAATAGAGTTGTGCTAGTCATCTATCTAACATCTTTCAAGAGAAATTTTTGAATTGAAATAACACGACTTCCAATTTGTAATGTATTGGATGTCCATATACAATCAATTGGGGTCTTCTGCCTCTAAGGTTTTCATATCTGGTCTCATCTTTCATCTATCTAACTCCATTCTAGAGATTAAGGAAAGACAGAGATAGACAGACAGACATGTGGACAGATAAACAAACAACAGTGAAACTTTATAGGTCTACAATTTTTTCAAATTGCAGCCCAACAATCAGACTATCCTGTTATTCTAGTTCAATGTTTCATCTCTGAAAAATAGTAGTCCACTTAATTTCACAGTTTTTCAGAAAATAACTTGATGTGAAAGTGGAGACTACGTTTCATTATACATAAAATAATTTATACATACAAACTCGTTAATTCAAACTTGGATAATTCATATTTCCTCTTAATTTGAACTGGATACTAGTCCCCATCTGATTCCTATTTCAATCAGCATAAAATTTATTCAAATCTAGAGCACTTTAATAGATTATCATCATCTTCCACTTTTGAAATTTAAAGATCAAATTTAAAATTAATAAATTTTTAAAAATTTATTTACATATAAAATTCCATGTAGAAATATTTATTTAACGCAAATGCCGAAAGAACTGTAAATAAACGGCATCTTAAGAGCCGTACTCCAAGTAAAACATAGAAGCTTAACAGGAAATACATCTTCACAGGGGCACTTTAATTACAATACCGATTTATATCGTCTAATAAAGCGATTATAATCGACAAATTTCTATAACGAAGAACATAAAAGTTGGAGCAGATACGAATTAAATATTTGCATTAATCATAAAGACGTTTACGCATTTTTTTTCTTTACTTTTCTCTTAAAATCCCGACGCCACTTGATCGACGATGACGTCATTCCAGACCATGTGATTCATCCGAGAAGACATGAGTCTTCGCCTCTACACACTTCATCCCAAGCGTTTTCTGAAGAATTCAGGTGATGTCGGTTTCTGTTACGCGTTACCCGTGCCCGTTTCCGCGTGATTTATGTAATTGATTAATATATTTCGTATAAAAATTAACACGTTGTCATTTTTAGGTGCGTTACTACCGCATAGCATATACACTTGTATATCGATTTTGTTGATTGTACATATTACTGTTGTTGTTGTTTTCGTAGGCAATTTTTAAGTATTTTCCGATAATTTCTAATTTAATTATAATTTCTAATCATTTTTTTTATTGTTTATAAAGTAATATACACAAGTAAACATATATTTAAGTGCGTATTTATGCATTTTTTTTTCATTATACATTAGGAAAAAATTATTCTGGCATTTTTTCTTTTCTTTTTCCTACAGAGTCTTATTAATTTCAATAACTTTGATACCAAATTAATTTATTAAGCTATTTTAAATTAATATATTCAAATATTATAATGAGTTATTTATATACATTAAAATTTTTTTTTAAATTTGTGTTTATTAAATGCAAAAATTCTCAGGTTTATAAAAGAATATGTAGAAATTCGAAGTAAATTATGCTAAATTTTATTGTTGGTTAATTAAAAGTTTTTTTAATATTTTAATTCCTTTTTTCCTATCACCAGACATGATGGAGCCAAGGTTTAGTCTGTCTTTTACTGATATATATAGAATTTTGATGACTCATTCTGGCTCAGCATGCTATTATAATAATCTATAAATGATATATAAAGCTTAATATACCTTATATAAACAGTAATGCTTCATTTGATTGATATCAATGCATATTCAATTTTGTTAACCATTTATTTAATTTCTTATGAGGCACTGAAGATAATTGTATGTTAGGAAATTTAATTTTATTTAATTAATTTATAATGATACTAAATTCATCATTAATTTTAAAAACTTTAACTGATTAATATGCACTTTTTTATCATCATTTTTTAGATATAAAATTTAATTTTATGATTATTTCAATTGTAATAAAATTATTTTAATTTCTTTCTTTTTAAGCAGAATATTTTAGTTTTATGGCCGAGTATTTTCTATTTATTGATGAATAAATTTAATACTAGTTTATGAATAATTTATAAAATTTGTTAGTAAAATTTCTTAGGAAAAACATATGTAAGAATTATAACAAAATTATATTATATTTATATAAACTTGTGGAGAAATTTTAAATTCTAGAAAAATTCTTATAAAATATCTAATAAAATTTTATAAAAGAATCTGTCAGAAATTTTGGACAAATTGTATATATACAGTAATGTTTTTAAATTTATTTATTTATTTATATGTATGTATTAATGTATGTATATATGTATGTGCTAATTACATGAATTTTATTTCAATAATCTTGTTGATTCATTGTCAAGAAAAATTATTTCATCTCAGGTTGAAAGTTGAAACTATTTTAATGTAGCCTATTAGCAGATGATTGATGATAATTATTAATTATCTATTTCATTCTACCAATTTCTAGCAGGATGGTATGAACAGTAGCTTCAAACTGATCTTTATATTAAATTGTTAATAAATTTTTAAAATTTATGTTAAACTATGTTAATTAAAAGAAATAATAACTATTTTTCACTTATTGGATAAAATGTTTGTAATGTCAATATATAAACTTGTTTGTTAAAGAACTATTTATTTGATTAGTTCAAAAAAAGCCTCCTAAATTTATTCTATATGAAAATATACTTTCAAATAAGAATTTTATTCAAGTATTGTTTGCTTCATGATTAACCCAACTATACAGTTAAACAAAGATTTTGTATAAATTTTTTAATTATAAAAACTTTTTTACATTTAATGCAGAAGCATATAATGGATTTATTGTTCTAAATCTCTCTTCAACCTGTGGATCATCCTTTCACAATAATATTGTATGTTTTAACAGTATACATTGATGAATGATGTTGACAGTGTTCTCCCCAATCCAATTTTAGCTGGTTGAACAACCAACTAAATATTTCCTCCAACATATTATTTTATTTATTTAAAAAATAATAAAGATAAAAACATGTTGGCACATAGTCCAGTTGTGTTTAATACTATGATTTTTGTTTCATTGTTATTAACAGAAGTTTGTAAGAAAATATTTAGTACAAGCCAGGCAACACTGAAGATTAACCACTTAATACTTTTTCTGGGAAAAACATTGAACTGAGTTAATTGATGCACCTTAACAGTAGGCAAAGTTTAAATAAAGCTAATGTTTCTGATCTGGTTAATAGCCATCTTCAGACTTGGGTGGAGTCATTAAGGGAGAGCTGAGGATTTTTCCTCACCCAGAGAAGTCTTAGGGGTACTAAGTAGTTCTTATCTATATAAATTAATGTTATTTTAACTAAGAAAAAATAAAATCTTTAAAACTACTTTTTATTTAATAAAGAAACATTCTATGTATTTCAATTTATTCAAACAAAATAATGGCAAAAAAGGAGCTCACTCTACCTCAGGCCCCTACAAGCTCTTAACAGCACTGGACATAGACACTTGGAAGTGGAATTTTCCACTTCATGCCTGAAGATGATCCATTAACCAGGTCAAAAATGTTAACTTTATTTAAATTTTGCCTACTGTTAAAAGTCTTAAAGGTGTATTAATTCATCTGAGTAACCACAGTAACTAAGTGCATCCGTATCAGAAAGTTGAAATAAAACAGCAGTTTTTTTTTTTTTTTTTTAATATTTTCAGCATTAAACAATTATAACTATTTGTCTATAAGGAGCATTCATAAAATTCTTTCTTGTTTAGCATTCAGGATAAAGGTCTCTCTCTACTTCTCTCTTTTTTCTATGCTTCTGATAAAATAATATTGTATCTTAAATTAAATATATTAATAAATTGTTTAGAATAGTATTTTATTATCTGTAATTATAGCTTTCTTAACAGTTTCATTTGATAAAATTTTATTACAATAATGAAATTAATTCATAAACACTGCAAAAACCTAACAAACCAACAACAAAGTTATAAACAAAATGTGAACATTTTCACCCAGGTTAAACAGGCATCATCAGACAACAAAAAGAAAAGGCATTTATATTTCATAGACTTCCAGGCAGTTAGGAAGGAGTCAATGTCACAATAGTTTATGGCTGAGTTATGGCAACTGGTCTTGTAAATTTCCACTTGTTCCAGTTGTTTGAGGACATATGGTTTAGATTCATTATGTAAGAGGTGCATCTCATAGAAATTTACCTGGATGCCTGGATCAGATGCGTAGATAGCCAAAGCCTTTTTGATAGATTTTGATGTTCTTTGAGATGGATATGTAACATCTATCAAAACAATTTAACCAATACATTTTTGGCTGTCTACACATCTAGCCCAGGCATTCAGGTAAATTTCCAAGAGACTCACCTCTTACATAACGAATCTAAACCATATGTCCTTAAACAACTGGAACAAGTGGAAATTTATAAGACCACCTGCCATAACTCAGCCATAAACTATTGCAGCATTGACTCCTTCTCCACTGCCTGGAAATCTTTCTATGAAATATAAACTCCCTTTCCTCTCCCCTTTGTCTCTTCTTATGTCATACACCCTATCCCCTACACACATGTTTGGCTATCCCCAGTGATTTTCTCAGCAGTTTGTTGCCTGATGATGCCCATTTAACAAGGGCAAAAATGTTCACACTTTGTTTATAACTTTGTTGCTGGTTTGTTAGGTTTTTGCAGTGTTTATTAGTTTTAACCAGTTGTAAAGTAGCAGTTGTTAACTTAGAAATTAATTCAACTTTATACAGAGAATAATTAATCAAAAGCAAGTATAATTTAATGTCTGTTTCCAATAATTAAAATTATTCAATTAACTTATCAAGTGGCTGTAAATGAATAAATAATTATAATTTATACAGGCAAACAAAAATGCTATCATATTTTAAATGCACATTGTAATTCTATTTTAAATAATAGAAAATGGTAATAAATTGTTTCTATCATGATTTAGACATGTGCAAAACTGAATACGATTTATAACAGTTAAAATCTTATAAATATTTTTATTTTTTTAAATTTTTTCTTGAGAAATGTGAAATGAATATTTTAATTTAATTTTTTTACTTTATTAGGAATAGACAATCATTACTTTGTGAAGTTATCTCAGGATTATACACTTATATATAAGAACTTATTTTGGAAACATTGAATTATACTAAAAAATTCCAAGTATATCTAAAAGATATTACAAAAACAAAGAAAACTGGAAACTCATCTGGAATTTATATCAAGTAGGTTATGTATTTTTATAGTAAAATTATGCTAATAGTGAATATTGTAAAGTATGGCCAAAGTGGCAAAGATGCCACCCTATCATTCTAAAAGATCTACAAGTCAAAACTTCAAACTTTGCATGAATGGTTTGACTCAGATATATTGGGTCCTGTCCTTCAGCATCTGGCTGTTCCATTATAGCCTGGTCAAACTCATCATGAATAACTGAAGGACAGTGTGTTTAAAAAAATTATAATTACCATATATAAAAATAGATATTTTTTAGTTGTATTTTCAAATTGCAACATTCCCACCATCATCGTCCATCCATCATCCTTAATTCATCTTGAGAACGGAGTTAGATATATGAAAATTGAGAGCAGATATGGAAAGCTTAGACACTGAAAGCCTGATTAACTATATAAGAACTTCCAGTCTAGACCAGAAGTCACATGATATTTTAAATTAAAATATGATTAAAAATTGCAGCCCGGTAATTTTGACAATGTCACAATAAGAATATCAGTTCTCATTAATTATTATGAAATAAAATATTAAAATTAAAACAATGCAGATATAAAATATTAAATAAATTAAGTTTTGTAAAACTTAATACATTAAACATTTTAGACAATTATTTTCCATGCTTTGTAGATTTTTTATTAATATAAAAATCAACAAACATTGAATTTTTCATTCATTTTTCATGCTAAAATTTATAATACAATGGCAAATAAATTAAGTATTAATTCTGTTCAACGATTTATTAGTATTAAAATTATTTCTTTTCAAATGAAATATTTTCAAGAGTTAAAAAAATTTTTTTTAATTCCTTAGTGATCAATAGAGAAGTCAACACACCTATATATTAAAAGAAAATAAACTTCTATTTAAAAGTTTGATTTTTTACATTTCTAAAGCTTTCTTATTTTACATAAATTCTTATTAACCTCTTTAAAAAGATGACTTGTTTGCATTTAAATGAATTCATTGGTATATTTAAACAATAATATTTTTTTAAAGAAAACCCTTGAGATCTTTGTTTACAGTTTATTTTAATATCAGAATAAAATCTATTATGATTGCAAAATAAGAATTTTAAATATGTGTTGTAGATGAGAATTTTAATTAAATCAATGAATTTTGAATTAAATTTAAAAATATAAATATATTTTATTGATCCAATTACAGATGAAACATCTTCATGACCACTTCCAGTAAAACCAGTCAATGGTCCAAAAATCAAGCATTTTTAGAACAACAAATATTAGATTTAGAAAACAAAGTTAAAAATGCTGCAAATGAAGAAAAATATTCGCATATGGTACTGCCCATTTACGAAGAATCTTACGAGAAATTTTATTGGTTACAAAAACAGTTGGATGAGATCAGTCAAGAAAAATATGAGAGAGAATATCTCCTGATGAAAAATAACAATCTTTTGAATCAGATGAAAACAATCCAAGATGAAAATCGATATTTACATAAAGCATTGAACTCAGAAAGACAGAAACTGAAAAGGAACAGACAAGTAATGCATCTATTTTTTTAATTATAATAAAGAGTTTAATAATATATAATTTTTTTCATATTTATTTTTAAAAATGTGTGATAAATATTTTAATATTTACTAAGAGTTGTTGATATTTGAATTTTTAACAATTTAATATTCAGCATATAAATAGTAAAGAAATTTTTTGTTTTTTTATTTGTTTGATAATCACTCTCTCACTTTCACTTCCAATTGTTCCTGTTTTGCTATATTTTCACAAATTTACTTATTTCTTGTTATATTTTGTTAATCAGAAGCTAACAAATTGATAAAATGTATTAAAGAATCAACTAAATCATACTAGTGGTATAGTTAATTGACCATTACAACTCAATTATTAGAAGCTCCTATAAATTGCATATTGAACTCTTATTAGAGGCACAAATTTTGTCACAGAAGGGAGCTGAGTTATTCTTTTAAGACTTTTAAATATATTTTATTTTACTTGAGAGACTATTTGCATTGAAAAACTAACATTTTTATTCTCTGCTTTATTTATTTATCTTGTATCTTAATGTTCTGAGAGACTATTGTGGTGCAATAACACTTGTCCTTTTTTCCTCTTTATCTTTTTTATTGTGGAAACAAAGAAGAGAACAAGGAGTTTAATGACATTTAAATTAGTACTATAGTAAATTAGTATTAAATAATAGTTTTTGCCCCATATGCAACTTTTGTAAGTTGATGTCTCGTGTAGAAATTCAAATGCAAGTCAATCTTTATTTTGCAGTTTAACTGAACCTAAGAAATAACACTATTGTTAAATTTATTCTTAAAGTTGTTTTCATGATTGACATAACAAAATAGCATTTGAACCATAATTACGGTATATTCTTGTATTGATTTATAAGAATTTGTGTGCACCTATATAAATAGATCACAGACTAATACTGAATGTATTTAACAATCTTATGTTATATGATTCACAAATTTAAATTCCTGACAAATTCCACCATATTCAATACCAAGTTCATAGAAATTAATTAAAACTAACTTATGAACTAGAAGAAAGGAAGAAAAGAATTTATAGGATATATTAACATTATTATTTTTAACTTAGATGATGAGATCCTTTTTTGTTTTCATTCTGAATAGTCCTGCATTGATTTATGTTCAGTGGAACTGAATTTTTTGGCTTAGTTCAATTCTGTTGCCAACATATATGAAACGTTCAATCCCATGCACATACTTCCTACTGTTTCTTTCCCTCTATCCACTTTTATATGTAGGCAAGAATCTGTTTTTTTCCTTCCATTTTGTACTCATCCCCTTGGGCTATGCCCTTCTGTACATCCAGAAAAGAAATAAAGGACAAAATGATAGAGGAAAGAATAAATCTACAAACTAAACAGAAAAATTTTAACCTTTAGCAACACATTGCCACAGTCTTAATTCTCTGCAATATCATTGCATTTAATTAATATAAAAATTTTTAAAAATTTAAGTTTTTTGCATTTAAAAATTTATTATCCAATTTGTTAGATAATTTTATTTTTTGAATAATGCTATCATTTTCATTCAGTTTTAAAATTTTTTTCATATTTAAATTATGCTGTAAGCAGAAAAAATTATTAACATATTAAATTATTATTTTATAGTTAAAACTTCATTGTGGCAGCCCTCGAGAAGAATGCGATAATTATTGTAACTATCATGGAATTCAAGAAGTTCCAATGTTTTCATGGGAAACAACAGACAAAGGGTCATGCATCGTTACACAGCAAAAATCAGAAAAATCACCATTGAAAGAAAATAAAACAGTTTTGCCAAAAGAGAATAAAAAATTTGCTAAGATGGAAATTACAAATTCAAATGAAGTAGCAGTTTGGATTGCAGATGAAGAAAACAATTTTCAATACATTCCTGCTGAAAAATATAATATAAATCTACAAGAAAAAGGAATGATTAGTTCATACAACAAAAACTTTTATATTAATCAAATCCATAGCTCTTCCAAAAGCCATTACGGTCAAAAAAATGTTAAAAATTCACTTCAGAAAGCTGAAAAGACATTTTACATCAATTTAAAAACAGATGATAAAACCCAAGCACACACATCGGATTCAAAATCTAGTAAAACAGCCTCAAATAATGGTAGCAATGATGATGGCAAAACTAATGAACAAAAAAACATGGCAAATACACCAAACAAAATATTACATTCTAATTTAAAAGAAACATTGACAGAAAAATTAAGCAATTCGCATAAAACAGAAATTAGCACTAAGAAAAAAACAAACAGTCCAGAGGATGTAACTTCCAAGCATGATACCTGCCTTGATAACAATACATCGAATAAATTCAAAAATAAATTTTACCACAAGTGTGTTATAGCAAGCACAAAAATATGCAATCTTAATCAGTTTATTGGACATCAGACGGGTAGGTTTAAGCATTACTATAAGATACTCTATTATTTGGCTCTAATTATGCTATGTATTTTAATAGGAACTTTAATACCAGTTCCTTGGAGAATATAATATTACTATTCTATAATAAAAGTAGTTTTATATAACTCTCTTAATCCTAAAAATTTATGTACCCTCATAAGGATACATCTAACACTTGCACATAAATTATATTTTTCTCGATGAAACAATCAATATGCTATTTAACCTCATTCTTTTTTCTTTGAGAATTTAAATTTCTTGCACTATGCAAGATATTGTATTTTGCATTAAATAAACAAATTTCAACTTTTGATATCTTGTTTTTATTTATATATCGCATATACAAAGGAAGTGTCATAAGACAATTGATATCCTCCCCAAAAATAATGCCCTTAACAAAAGATTATGTCTATTGCTTTTTGTTATTTGTATTTTAATCAATCTTTTTATTTTTTTACTATTATAAAGCAACCATTTACAGATGTGTTTGAAATTTAGAAAATCTTCATTTCTTACAATATGTATCAGCATTACTAATACCACTTCTTTAATTTCTGATCTCAAAACATGGAGATTTGCTTTGCAAAAATCTCAGTGGGTCAAATTTGACATAATTCCAATACTTTCCCTTATGTATACGTACGTACATACATAACAGTCAGAAAAGTAAAAACAGCATATTTAGATTATGCACAATGATAAGAATTTATACAATCATCCTTTTATATATTAAGATGATATCACAAACAAGAATAACTATACGAGGGCTGTTCGGAAAGTTTGCGGCCTTGCCTATATGTGGCGCTGCAATCAATTTAATTTTTGGCGGGAATAATTCAGCCATCTTTGCTAAAGATACGATACCAATTTCCGCTTGATTTGTCAGAAACTTTTGCCACGACAGCTTAGCAGATAGTAGTGTCACATGCTTTGTCAAAAATGGAGAAGACGGAGAGTGCGGTCATAAAATACCTGACGAAAAAAGGGTTGACCCCATCTCAAATCAAAGCTGACATGGATGAAGTTTTAGGAGAGTCTGCTCCTTCGTACACCACTGTGAAAAACTGGACAGCCCTTTTTAAATCTGGCAGAGAGAGTGTGAAACATGACCCTTGCAGCGGACGGCTGTCAACTGCTGTCACTGAAGAAAACATCGACAAAGTTCACAATTTGGTATTAGCAGATCGCCGTTTGAAAACGCGTGAGATAGCTGAGACAACAGTCATCTCTGTCGAGTGCACCACATCCTAACCGAAGATTTGGGTATGACGAAGGTCTCAGCAAGGTGGGTGCCGCATCTGCTGACCACCGAGCAAAAACGTGTTCGCACTTTGATGTCAAAGGAGTGTTTGGACTTCTACCAGAAAAACCCACAGGATTTCTTGCATTGGTTTGTGACTACTGACGAAACATGGATCCATTACTGAAACAAAAAAACAGTCGAAGCAATGGAAACACCACAGTTCGCTACCACCAAAGAAGGCAAAGACAGTTCCATCAGCGGGTAAAGTGATGGCCTCGGTTTTTTGGGATGCTAAAGGCATCATCTTTATTGACTACCTAGAAAGAGGAAAGACCATTAATGCTGTCTATTACTATGAACTTTTGGAAAAACTGAAGAAAGAAATCGAAGAAAAGAGGCCACACTTGAAGAAGAAAAAAGTTCTGTTCCACCACGATAATGCACCTGCACATTCCGCCAGAATCACTGAACAAAAGATAAACGAACTTCTCTTCCAATTAGTTCCACATCCACCGTACTCACCTGATTTGGCCCCCAGTGACTTCCACCTTTTTCCAAACCTAAAAAAATTCTTGGCTGGAAAGAGATTCCACTCAAATGACAAAGTCATCTCTGAAGTGAACGAGTATTTTGCACACCTTGACAAATCGACCTATTGTGATGGCATAAAAAAGCTAGAACATCGCTGGAATAAGTGCATTGCTAACAGAGGAGATTACATTGGAAAATAAAAAAGTTTTAACATTATTTTGTTTGTTTTTCTATGTGAGGCCGCAAACTTTCCGAACAGCCCTCATATTTTATATATAATGGTGTGTGCAACGTTAATAATTATAACACAATCATGCCTATAATACCATATATGTTTCCTAATGCCATTAAGTATTGTGCTTGCAAGAAACTACAATTAGGTTTGGAAAAAAATTGTGTACACAATAAAACACAATTATGCAAATACTGTATTTATTCTCAAAAATATCTACAAAACTACATTTTACAGGATTAGAAAATATTTCCTTAAGCTTAACTCCATGTTCTACTGCATTGAAAACAAAAGTATCCTACTATAGCTTCAGGTGCAATTAAAGGTTGCCCTAGTGCACATAGTATCAGACATTTGTTGCAATTTAGCATTCACGTAACAGCTTCATCTAAGGATAGAGTCAACCCAAAGAAGCTGGACAATACAGAAATGGTTAGGAATATTCTTTTGTGCAACATGGAGATGTATGAAGAAGAATTATATGATACTTCTGACACTGCTTTCAATTTTGTGTCAAATATTTCTAGAATATAAAAAAAATCATTTGAAACATGATTCAATAATCAGGATTAACTACTTTATGTTACATTGAATACCAATTTCTTAAAAATATTCCAGCAAAACAAACAAAATCCCTTGGAAATATGTAAAAAGCCATAATAATTAGCAAAAATACAAAGGATATCTGACAAATACATTGTGTACATTCCAGGGTAATGATTCTGATGACATTACTATACTTTTTTTTAGTGAAACTCATAGCTGCTTACTGCTTTTATTTTTGGCAAATTTTTCAGTTTCATAAATGTACTTTTAGACTAATAAGACACCACTTCTGTGCCCAATATAAAAATATATTTTTAAGATTCAGTAATAATATATTAAGATGACTAATCAAAATCATAAACATGATATAAAAATATGCAATAACTTTCATTATTGTTTGGTAAGTAATGATGCTGATACTAAGAACCATTTACCGACATTTTTTGCCATATGCTGATACAGCATACTGGCAGAAAAATAGCTCTGTCTATGACTATGTGCAATTTGGTCCACTAGTTGAAAAGTCTGGCCACCATTGCAACAGAAGATTTACTTTTAAAATTTTAAATACAATGTATTAGAATTAACAAACATTTTGAGAAAACAATTATAAATTAAATTAGTGTGTGTATTTAAATAAATATATTGTACTAATATTTCGAAAACATTCACATCTATAGTTATAATTACAACTCAGAGGACTTCAGTTAAACAATTGAACACAATTCCTTAATTTGTATAAAATTCAGTTTAATATATACATTTTGAATTTAGAACACCCAATTCAATAACCGCAGACAGTTCCCAAAAATTAAGAATGTTTGATCACACTACTAAAGATTAGACAACTAAAAATAATTAAATTTACTACTATAATTCCAATAAAATACTTGTAATTAAAGTGATATCTAAAAATAAATTCGTAATAAAAAATCTTTATCTAAATTATTTTATTTGTACAGTACTAATAACTAATATAAATATTTAATTTTTCTTTCATTCAATAATCAAATTTGCTCTGTTGGATATTTAAGAAAAGTATTTGTAACTGATGTTTATAAAAAATTAATAATAAAATAGAGTGCATTAGTTGTTCATTTGTTAAAATTCTGGAATAATTATAAAATTAAGAGAAAAAAAAAGATCATTTAAATCTTCACTGTGAATCAGTTTATTCTTATTAACAATAATAGCATCAAAATTAAGCTAAAATACTATATTTATAATATTTATCTTTATTATCTTAACATACATTATCAATTTTACAATTCATTATACATCATTTACATACTATATAATTTATTACACAGTCGTGCAGCAATGGCAGTGAAATTAAACAGAATGTGTATTAAAATACATTATCTTCAGTCAAATTCTGTAATTACATTAACATATAAACAATTCAAAATTAGAATATCTTTTGTACTTTGCTAAAACAAAAGTTAATTTTTTAACATTCACAAATAATTTTTGTATTTTTGAAATCTTTAAAAATTATATAAATATTGCTTTAAAAATGAAATTACATAAGTGTTATAAATGAAACAGGTATGTTTCTCACAAATGGCAATATTCAACAGGTTCTTTCATTTGTGAATGACCATACAAAACTTTTGAGTTAATTACAGAAGTGAGATTTAACCTCTTTGGTCCAAGTCAGGGATGGGCAACCTTTTTCTATATAAGGGCTGCATTTCAAAACTTTGAACTGACAAGAGCCACATACAAGAGAAAAGGGGGGAAAGAAATGTTGTAAATCACATTTATTCATATATAATTATAAATTAGCATAGATATACTTAATTTAGCTTCTGGAACTGATGTAAATGTAATATATCAGAAATATTTGGTTAAATATTAGTCACTGCTAGCTTTAAATTAGTTTTGATGTGTCTGTTAGCTGGTTTTTGTTTTAATTTTTACTAAATTCATTGTGGAAAAACTATTCACATACATAAGTTGTAGAAAATAACATTTGAATTTTTGCTGCATACTTCCTTAAGCTGGGAAATTAATATATTTATTCATATTTTATGTGGGCCGCAAAAAATATTACTGTGGGCCGCATGCAACCCGAGGGCTGCAGGTTGCCAATCCCTGGTCTAAGTTATGGATTTTGATGTGTTTGGCAAGAGAATATTCAATCCATAGCCATATCCACAGGCAAGGATCAAGAATCAGAGTTAGAATTTAGTAGATGAATGCTTATTTGTTAATTAAACTTCCAACTCTTGATCCTTGATTGTGAATATAGTCATAAAAGACAAACTGGACCAGACCATAGTTAAACATTTCAAATCCTTCAGACCCTTTTTTCCTACAATATATCAAATAATTTCATGGTATTTATCTAAATTCTATTTAAAATTTTAACTTACAAAGTTTGCAAAAATTATGCTAATTCATTGAGTATTCTACAGTCAACATCAAAGTAATCTGTACCTACTTCTTATCTAAACTATGGTTTAGATTGCATCTTGTTTCTGTAATTAGCTCTTACAATTACATAAGCAAAACTTATTAAATTCCAACAACATTATCACATTTTTCATTTCTTTTGAAATTCTGTATGTTGAATTTATGATAAGGAAATTTGAGTTGCATAATATTATTCATTTTTTATTATAAATATATATACAATATATTTATAACTTCTTTTATTTATAAAACACTAGTGTCAGTTGTTTGATATGTGAAGAATTGATAACCGATTGTGTAATAATAGGGAAAAATTAGTAATTTCAATTTATTAATTTATAATTTAAATCTACTTTTGTGAGGTTAATTGGTTAGTATAATTAAAATCAGGAATGATTCCTCTTGTACAAGTTAAAATTATCAAGTAAAATTTCTCAAGTTTGTCAAGTCCCTTAGACAAATATACAAGCCAATCCAAAACAATTATTTAAATAAATATTGAAACTTTTGATAGATTTCAAGATGATTCAAAAACACACACAGATATTAAAATAATTATAGTTTAATTATCTAATGCTAAATTTCCACACAATAGCATGGTTCTCTTGGTAGAGTTGAGCAAAAAAAGAAAAAAATCACCACTAAAACAAAACCAACCAGAAAGTTTTTTTTTTAATAATTATCAAATATAGTAATTTTTGCTATAATTTTAGATATTTTTTTTTCTTAGAGACACTTACATCCTAATTTTCAG